AGAACCAAACTAAGGAAAGAAAAACATCTCCTCAGTGGATGAGGGAGAGGAAGAAACTGACAGAGCAGGCGCATTCTGGGCAGCAGGGGGCAAGCGTAGGCTTGGAACTTTCAAATGCTAATTTTTGTCCAGGCACAAGAATATTTTAGGACCGGAAGGATATTTAAAATATATCAGTGAAAAAGCAAGTTTCAAATTGTTGCTCCAGAGGGTTCCATTTTGGTTACATAATGTATATAAACATTTGCTGTTTATGTTATTGTTATATACTTGTTTATGTATAGGTACAGGTGTATAAAATGAAGCACAACAGTTCTCAAGCAATCCCCCCAGGGGGCATATTTAGCAATGTCTTGGGACAATTTTTATTGTCACACCTGGGGGGGGGAGGGATGCTACTGGCATCTCGTGGGTAGAGGCCAGGAATGTTGTTAAACATCCTACACTGCACAGGGCAGCTCCCACCACAAAGGATGATCCAGCCCCACGTGTCAATAATGCCAAGGCTGGAAACCTTGGGGCAGCAGATACTGTTGATTGTCCCCCTCATAGCCCTTTGGCATTCATCTCTACATGTCCAGGCTGGCTTATTGCAAACACCTGTGACTCTGTGCCTGTGGGCTTCTTACTGCCCACAGAACATGCCTGGTCCATGCACGAGACAAGCTGGTGGTGCCAGAGAGTAATGGCCCTTGACAGCAGCCATTAACCAATGACTGTTGGAAGCTGGTGGATAAAAGTCCCAGATCCCTTGTCCCTGAGGGGAATGACTCTTAGGTGTATCCTATGCCACCCTCCAGAGTTCCCCAATGGCACTGAACCCAGGTTGTGGAAAGGATTGTGCACTTATTACTTGCTGCTTTCCCTTCCCTATTATCACTTACCCACAGATCTACTGGTGTTTCCTGGGATCACACCTCAAGTGAACTCTTTACATTTGAACCCTTGTTTCAGAGTCTGCTTACGGGGGACCTCAAGCCAAGACACACGGAAGGACACGATCAAAACTTCAGTTATTTTTCACTAGATTGAGGAATTGTGTGTGATCTCTATTTTCTTCCTCTGCCTATGCATATTTTGTAAATTTTCTACAACAAAGATGTATTCTATAATATGAAAAAACTATTATGGTAAAATATACATAACATAAAATTTACCATTTTAACCTTGTTTAAGTGTAGAGGTCTCTGGAATTGCATACATTCACATTGTCATGCAATCATCACCACCATCCATCTCTAGGACTTTTTCATCATCCCAAACTGAAACCCTCTACCCATTAAACAATAACACCTCATTCTCCCCTGCCAAGCCCCTAGTAACCACTGTTCTACTTTCTGTCTCAATTTATTTGACTATTATAAAGATCTCATACATATGGAATCATACTGTATTTGTCCTTTTGTGACTGGTTTATTTCACTCAGCATTATGTCTTCAATACTCATCCATGTTTTAGCATGTGTCAGAATTTCATTCCTTTTTAAGTCTGAATAACATTCCATTGTGTGTATAGACCACTTTTTATAGGAAAAGTTTTTTTCATAATGTCACTTACCTTCTTCCCGACTCAGGCTTTTCTCTTTTCCAATGTTAACAAAACCATCCTGACATTTTCTTTGATGTTCCAGGTCCGAAAGTGGTTGAGAGACATCATCAAACCTAAATCTGAGTCTGAGACTTACACACTTAGCAGCAGGTTTGGCCATTACTCAAAACCCAGTGTGGTAAGAGGATTTGTGATTTATTCTGTTTCACCCTTGACACCCTGAACTTCCTTTCCTTATCTTAATATGAGTTCCCCTTCCTGGAGGCATGGGGAAGACTTCTTTTCCTGATGTCCTGATTGGCATTCCTCATTCTCACTATATTGTTCCTAGTGACCCTGCTCACTAACAGTGCTTAAACTGGCTTTGGTATCTATTCTTGTCATTCAAAGAATTATGGGTAAAACATAATACCAACACCACTACCATCTAATGTAGACTCCTTTGGGGGGAGATTTACAATCATAGACATAGCAGAGTGGTCATCATCTGAAATCCTATACCATAGAGAAGTGGACATGAGCCCAATGGAGTTAGTAGATAACATGAAAAGGACTCCAGGAGAGGGACTCCATCCCAGCTGCTCTACATAATTATAGGAGAGGAGTGCATGGAATAATGGGACCTTCCTGGGAGAGGAAATGGTCCTGTTAGAAAGGGAACCTTTCTGGAACTTGGTTGCTGGTATTTGTCTGTTCTTCCATTGAGCTAACCTAGGCTCAATGCACCAAAGAATAAGCTTCTAAAACTATCTGAGACTCCTCTCCATAGTTGTCCCTTATTTGCTCTTGTAGAGAAATGAGAGGACATACTTGTAAGAAGGTATGTCACTAGATGAGCAAGATGGGCTCAAAGTTCATAATTCATAAAAATTCTCCCAATCTCATTTGGTTTTATGCCTCTCTTGTGCACACCCACTACATCTGCTAGCCAAAAAGCCTTAGAATATGTTATTTTTAAGCTAAACAAAATTGAGACATTTCTGATACATTATTATCTACATTTATTGAGATAGTATGTGATTTTCCCTAACAGTGGAAATATTGAGGTCACTGAAAAAACATTTGTCTTTTATTGGAATGAGGTAAGGGAAATACACTCAAAATTTTTCAAAAGGACCAAAAGGAAAAAGTGACCAGGAAAAAAAGTCTTGGGCACATTAGGTGATCAGAAAGAAATTTTATGAATATTTAGGCTTAATCAGTCTCAATATGAATAAAATTATAGTAGGTGCCAACCTTTGAAAGGTTTCCCAGGTAATCCAAAATAATTCCCAAAGCTGCCAGCACTCCAGCTACTGATTTCTCAAAAAGAATAAGGGAACTCATTATCTTTATTATTATTATTATTATTATTATTATTATTACTATTATTATTGCTTAACATTGTAGAAATTGAATAAGTGCATCTTTTAAAAGGTGATATGTATTATAGAATGTTTATATATTATGTATTTATTTTTTATATTTTTAATATATATAAAACACATTAGGACTCTTGATAAAACACATTTGCTTTAATTAAAAGAATCTTTCAAGCTTTTATTTTTCTAGCCACAGGGTATGAGTAAAAAGCTAACAAAACCCTTTCTGTGGTTTTGGGTTAACTTTCTAGTTCTGTTGCCTAGAAACTTGATAACATTGGAAGGTCAGCTATGTAACCAAGCAATACTGTCTACAGGGAAAGTCATACTTGACTGGACAAGGAGTTCTGTGAATGAGCCATGAATATAAGGAAGGAAGGCATAGCTTTGGACTTCCTGAATACAATGACTCTCATTACTAGTCCAGGAACTGCTTGCTTCATGGACTGCTACAGGAGATATTGGTTCCCCTGTGGAGTTTGGGGCTTCTAAACCAAGCTGTAACTTGTATGGAGTGAACAAAATATTTGTCGAGTTCTGTAACGTGTCAGACACTATGGTAGGCAATGGACATACAAAAAGTAACAAGACCAACACAGTCCCTAACTTCATGAAGCTTAGAGTCTAGCCCTCTTCCTAGACAAAAACCAAGATCCAGGAGGCTGAAATTCTCAAGCAGGATAGAATGTCCAGAAATTTTTCCCAAAAAACGTCTTCATCTTGGATTTTTTAGAAGTCCTCTGAATATAAGCTGAAGAAGGCAACACCTGTCCTAGGATTCCAAAATGCTAGGAGATCATGCCGTCCTTGCCTTCTAGATAGAACTCTCTGGCTTTACCCCACTCCTGCTCTTTCTCTCTGTTTTGCTGTTGTTGTTTGTTTGTTTCCTTGGTTTATTTTATCCTTATATCTACTTTTAACCTAAACGTCTTTGGTGGGGGGATGTCTTTCCAGGACAACTGAAGAGAAAATATTAAAACTAGAACATTCAACTCCATATGGAAAGTCATATCCGTGGATCTGGTTGGCATCATGAAGAATGAAGCTGAGGGCAAGGGGAATCTTTATACAAACCATCCTTGGAGAAGAAATGTTTAACCTATACTTCCTGAAGTGTTTGTTCTGCATAATGGGCTATCAATAAATGTGTGTTAAATTGGATATCGCTTCACTGTGGCATGTTCAATCAATGCTTGTCCCTGGATACCCAAATCATGACCATTGCAAACATGCCCTTGACTTTTTGTAAATGAAGAGGTCCCTTTCAAGGCCTTTCCTCAAGTTCTTTCTCTCACTCATCCAAAACTTGCTCTTTAAACTTATCCACTCCTTCAAACCATCAGCTTTACCTCTTTTCTTACCCAGGCTAGATCTCATGATCAACTAGGTCAAATGATTCTCTCCCATACTTTGAACACCTTTGATGTCTCGTTCTAATTCCACACCTACCAGAGAAAACTCCAACCCAGGACCAGGGTTCGGCAGGCACTGTGCATTGTCCACAATCACCACTATCACATGTTCCTTATAAACACAACCTTGATTGTTCTCAGATTTGGGACAGCAATGTGTCTAAACCAAAAGGATCAGGTGAGATTGGTCTAAGTTCAGTGATACTAAGAAGGGGGTGATGCCCCAGAGACATTTGTCAATGTCTGAAGAACATTTTTAGTTGTCATAGCTGAGACACTTGTCAATGTCTGGAGAACATTTATAAAAAAAAGATTTTATTGGGGAATTTAGGGAGAAGAACAGCGTTGGGAAATCGAGAAAGGTGAACACACAAGTTGCTATCCTCTTGTTCTTCAGTCTAGTTGTGGAGGACATCACTTCACTGGCCCATGTTGGTATTGTGATCATTGTGCTCTTTCCGGGTGAGGCAGATCAGTCGCCGGCCATTGGACAGCCACTCACAGCGGCTCACAGAAGCTCACGCCAGCTGCTGGGTGCTCACGCTGGCAGCCAGCCACTCACAGTAGCTTATGGCAACCCACTGCAGCTGTCGCTGGTGACTCACGGCAGCCCAGCTCAGGTTGAGCTGTTGTTCACCATCTTAGCTATGGAGGGCACAGCATCACTGGCCCATGTGGGATCCGAACCGGCGGCCCTGCTGCTCAGAGCTCACGCTCCCAAGCCAACTCTTAACCAATGAGCCACTTGGCTGGCCCTGGAGAACATTTTTAGTTGTCATGACTGGGACAAGAGGAAATGCTACTGGCATCTAAATGGTAGAGGCCAAGAATTCTGCTAAACACCGTACACTGCACAAGACAGACCACATACACAGAGCAAAGAATTATTCATCCCCAAATGTCAGTAGTGCTGAGGTTGAGAAACGCTGATCTAAACTACCATAGTGATCTTATTCCTATTTGCTAGAGATTGGTTAAGCATGGGCACTTGAGCCAATTCCAGCCAATGAGATATAAGAAACACCTACTGGAAAATACTTTTTTCCTTGATAAAAACAAACAAATTTAAAAAGAGCCTGCCCAGGGCCGGGCAAGTGGCTCAGCTGGTTAAGAGTGCGAGCTCTGAGCAACAGGGTCACCGGTTTGATTCCAATGTGGGCCGGTGAGCGGCACCCAAGCTGAACTGCTGCTGAGCTGCCGATGGGTGGTCAGATGGCAACTGGACTTGGACCTGGGCTAGCTGCGCCTTCCACAACTAAGATTGAAAGACAACAACTTGGCTGTTCCCCTTCCCCAATTCCCCACTAAAATCTTTTAAAAATATAAAAACTTTTTTAAAATAAATAAATAAATAAAAAGAGCCTGCCCAACTACATAATAATAAAGGGATCAATTCAACAAGAGGACATAACCCTAGTAAACATCTATGCACCCAACATGGGAGCTCCTAAATATATAAAACAAATATTGACAGACATAAAGATGTAGATCAACAGTAACACTATCATAGTAGGGGACTTCAATACCCCGTTGTCACCAATGGACAGATTCTCCAGACAGAAAAACAACACGAAAACAGTGGCCTTAAATGACACTTTAGACAAGCTGGATTTAATTGATATTTTTAGAGCATTTCACCCCAAAGCAACAGAATATGCATTTTTCTCAAGTGCACATGGAACATTTTCCAAGACAGACCATATGTGAGAACACAAAACAAGTCTCAATAAATTTAAGAAGATTGAAATCATATCAAACGTCTTCTCTGACCACAATGCTATGAAACTAGAAATCAATTATAAGAAGAAATCCGGAAAGCACACAAATACATGGAGGCTGAATAACATGCTACTAAATAGCAAGTGGGTCAAAAATGAGATCAAGGAGGAAATTAAAAGATACCTCGAGACAAACGAAAATGAAAACACAACAACCCAAAATCTATGGGATGCAGTGAAAGCAGTCCTACGAGGGAAATTCATAGCAATGCAGGCCTTTCTAAAGAAACAAGAATAATCTCAAACCAACAGACTCTCTTTACATCAAAGCAAACTGGGGAAAAAACAGCAAAACAAGCCCAAAGGGAGTACAAGGAAGGAAATAATAAAGACCAGAGCAGAAATAAATGATATAGAAACCAAAAAAAAAATACAAAAGATCAATGAAACCAAGAGCTGGTTTTTTGAAAAGATAAACAAAATCAACAAAACCTTAGCCAGACTCACCAAGAAAAAGAGAGAGAGAACCCAAATTAGTAAAATCAGGAATGAAAGCGGAGAAGAGACAACAGATGCCACAGAAATACAGGAAATTGTAAGAAAATACTACAAGCAACTATATGCCAACAAATTTGACAATCTGGAAGAAATGGATAAATTTCTAGAAGCATACAATCTACCAAGTCTGAACCAAGAAGAAACAGAAACTCTGAAAAGACTGATTACTACCAAAGAAATTGAATCAGTAATCAACAAGCTTCCAACAAACAAAAGTCCTGGACCAGATGGCTTCACAGGTGAATTTTACGAAACATTCAAAAAAGAATTAATGCCTATTCTCTTCAAACTATTCCAAAAAATACAGGAGGGAAGGTTCCCAAGCACATTTTATGAGGCCACTATTACTCTGATCCCAAAACCAGACAAATATATTACAAAACAAGAAAACTACAGGCCGATACCCCTAATGAACATACATGCAAAAATTACAAAATACTAGCAAACCGAATTCAGCATCACATTAAAAAGATCATACACCACGATCAAGTGGGATTCATTCCTGCTACACAAGGTTGGTTCAATATCCACAAATCAACTAACATAATACATCACATTAACAAAATGACAAATAAAAACCATATGATCGTATCAATAGATGCAGAAAAAGCATTTGACAAAATCCAGCAGCCATTTATGATAAAAACTCTTACCAAAGTAGGAATAGAGAGATCATATCTCAACATAATAAAGGCCATATATGATAAGCCCACAGCAAACATCGTACTCACTGGGGAAAGGCTAAAAGCTTTTCCCTTAAGATCAGGGACAAGACAAGGCTGCCCACTTTCACCACTTCTATTCAACATAGTTCTGGAAGATGGCCACAGCAATCAGACAAGAAAATGAAATAAAAGGCATCCAAACTGGAAAGGAGGAAGTAAAATTGTCACTATATGCAGATGACATGATACTATTTACAGAGAATTCCAAAGACTCCACCAGAAAACTGTTAGAACTGATAAATGAATTTAGTAAGGTAGCAGGATACAAAATTAACATTCAGAAATCAGTTGCATTTGTATACACCAATAATAAACTATCAGAAGAAGAAATCAGGACATCAATCCCATTTACAATTACTTCAAAAACAATAAAATATCTAGGAATAAATTTAACCAAAGCAGTAAAAGACCTGTACTCAGAAAATTATAAGACATTAAAGAGAGAAATCAAAGAAGATACAAATAAATGGAAATACATACCATATTCATGGATAGGAAGAATTAATATAGTTAAAATATCAATACTAACTAAAGCAATATATAGATTCAACGCAATTCCTATCAAACTACCAAGGACATTTTTCTCAGAAATAGAACATACAATTCTAAAAACATAAAAAAACCCAAATAGCCATGGCAATCTTGAAAAATAAGAACAAAATGGGAGGGATCACGCTACCAGACATCAAGTCATACTACAAGGCTATAGTAATCAAAACAGTATGGTACTGGCATAAAAACAGACACATAGATCAATGGAACAGAATAGAGAGCCCAGAAATAAACCCATCCAGGGCCAGCCTAGTGGCACATTGGTTAAGAGCTGTCTTGGGACACTAGCTCTGAGCATCAGGGCCCCAGTTCAGATCCCACATTAGGGCCAGTGGCGCTGTGCCCTCTACAGCTAAGATGGTGAACAACAGCTCGACCTGGAGCTGGGCTGCCTTGAATTGCCGGCGATGGCGTAGGCTGCAGTGAGGCTGCAGTGGGCTGCCATAAAAGCTACTGTTAGTGGCCAGGAGCCAGCATGAGAGACCGGCAGCCATCGTGAGCTGCAAGAGCTGCCGTGAGCAGCTGTCCAGTGGCAGGTGACCAATCTGCTTCACCCGGGAAGAGCACAATGATAATACCAACATGAGCCAGTGAAGCAACATCCTCCACAACTAGACTGAACAGCAAAAGAACAGCAGCTCATCTGTTCCCCTTCCCTGATTCTCCAACGCTGTTTCCCTCCCCCAATTCCCCAATAAAATCTTTAAAAAAAAAGAAAGAAGCTGTGGTACATTTATACAATCGAGTATTACTCAGCTATAAAGAAGAATGAAATCATACATTTGCAATGATATGGATGGACCTAGAGAACATTATGTTAAGTGAAATAAGTCAGTCAGGAAAAGACAAATACCATATTATCTCATTTATATGTGGAATCTAAAAAACTGAATGAACGAGCAAAGAAAACAGAAATATTCTCAGAGATATAGAGGAAAAACTGGTAGTTGCTAGTTGGGAGGGAGTGGGGATGAGGGAGAATGGGAAGGGATTAGACAGCATAAATAGGTAACTACAATATTGCCACAGAGATATGAAAGACAGTTCAAGGAATATAATTAATAATGTTGTAAATATTTTGTATGGTGTCAGATGGTCACATGTCTTGTTAGGGAGACTGCTTCATGGATGGGGTAGAGGCTTGACCACTGCACTGTACACCTGATGTTGTACAATATTGTGTTATATA